GGGGTGGCCTCGAGGGTGGCCCTGGGGGCCCTGTGGAGAAACACGGCCACTGCACCCCATCTCGGGGCTCACTGTCTCCCGGTCTCTCCTGCAGCCCTCGCCGTGTCCCCAGACCCCCCGGGGCCCTCCCCTCCCCTCTGGGCCCACTGCATCGCCCACTGCCCAGGCTGCTGCTGTGGGCCTCCCCTCCCGACCCACCGGCCCCCCTGGGCCTTCTTTCCCTCTGCACGGCAGACCTGGTGTCCATCCGCCTCTCTCCTGGGTCAGCTCCACGCACACGGCTGCCCACCCCCGATCTTAGCCCAGGACAGAAGCCACGGGGGGCTGTCCCTGCTGGCCTGCTGCCATGTGTGTGACAAGGGACTGAGCAGGCCCAGGGCCCTGTGGCCTGGGGGTGCAGCTGAGAGGGGGACGCTCTCCTTCTCCTAGGGCACTTCCAGATCCCGAGAGTCCCAGGGCCCCCACCCTCTTGTTTGGGACCTGGCTCTAGGATGTGGTGGGGCAGGCTGCCTGGCTCCTGAGGGGTGTCCCCGCCAGCCCCAGGTCCACCTCTCCAGGTAGCAGCTTCTGGGAACACCCCTGGACAGTGGTCAGGGTCACTGGACACCTGCAAAGCCTGTTTCTGCCTCCAGTTTATCCTTCTCTGGGCTCCCAGTGAGGGGAGCCCCCGCTGCCCAGTCTGTCAGCAGATGCATCTGTCCCCTCCCCCAGCCAGGAGCACGTGGGGGATCACAGCAGCTTCTTCACCAGTCTGCAGGCACTGACTGCGGCTGAGCTCCCCAGAGTCTCCGACCAGCGGGCCCGAGGCCAAGGTGGGGTGTTGGCTGTGGGTTTCCTTGTGCCCAGACCCTCACTGCTTCCTGACCCTGGGTGCTCCGAAGTGGGCTGGGGTGATTGTTACAGGCTGGTAGCTTCCCTGTTGTCCTGCCCAGGCCTCCCTGACATGTATCAGAGCCCACCCCATGCTCCCAGCAGCCCTCCGCGGGGTGGGAGAGGCCACAGGAGGGGGTGCAGCAGTGTGGCTGTGTTACCCGCCCCCGGGAGGCCCCTCCTTACCTGGAAGGAGAAAGGGACCCAGCAGGTCTGTCAATGGGGGCTGTGGGCCTAGGCTCCCTGTGGGTCTCGGGGGTTGCCCTGTGAACCCACAGAGCTTCTCTAGGGAGAAATGGGTCTGTGGCCTTGGATAGGTCCTCAAAGGGGCCCGTAACCAGAGAGAGGACAGAAATGTGCCCTGCACGCTTGCATGCACGCACGGGAAGCAGATAAAAGTGGGCTATAAAAAAAAATCATTTAAAAAATAAAAGTGCCCCCCCCAACGCAGGCCCCATCTTCCAGAATCTGTTGTAACAGATTCGCCCAAGCTGGTTAACGGTATTTGCGGTTTGCAAGATGCTACACGTCCCTGGAAAATGACAGACAACTTATTATCACCTCCCCACTCTCCTCCTGTCCAAACCTGCCCGTGCCGGGCACCCAGCTGCTGGGGAGCGGGTGCGAGGAAATTAACAGCCACAGAGCCGCGGCGCCTGCCACCCACCACCCCCGCCCAGCCCTCCCAGGCCCTGGGCTCCCAGCCAGACCCAGCCCATCACAGACTGTGATGGGGGGAGGGAGGGGGAGGGTCCGAGTGGGGGAGGGCAGGAATGGGCATACACCAGCATTTGGGCAAACCGTTTCCTGCAAGTGCGGAGGAATACGCGCATCCCGGAGCAGGCAAGTCCAGGCGGCTCTGTGTCAACAGCCGAAGATAAATAAGATTTTATCAGCTCAGAATCTGTTGAAACACATCCATCTAGCGGTTCTAGGGAAGGAGAGGCAAGAGGGAGGGAGGGAAAGGAAGCGTCTTCGCGCGTGACCTTTTCTATAGAATAGATGGGACCCAGGAGCCTTCCTTCTCACCTGCCCAGGGCCTGCGGCCCAGGAGCTACGGGAGGAAGGACGGAGCTGCTGGAGCTGTAAGGGCTCATGCCCTCTTCAGCGCAGGCCCCCGCTCCTGCCCGTGTAGCCCAGCCAGATGCTCCAGGTATAGGCAGACCTCAGGCATCCCTCAGCGTGATGCTCAACCCCGAGCGCCCCAACGCCCCAAACGCCCCAACGGTTGGGCTTCTGTGGGCTCAACCCCTTGCAGGGATGGGCCTGGCCGGTGCACGTGCCCAAGGCCACATTAGCAGCCAGCTGGGGGTGGACCTGGGCTGGGGACACCCCTGTGGGGAGCGGGGCCAGGCCCAAGGCTGGTGGTGGCCTTGCCAGGGACACAGAGGGAGGAAGCCGCGCGCACTCTCCTCGCCCACCCCAGGCTGCCCCGCGCTCACCGCCCAGCCCGCTCCCGCGCCGGTACCGCGGACAGCTCCCCGCGGCTCCTCCCCGGGGCGG